CCTGTTTTCCCAGGTGTGTTCCGGGGGGTCTGTATTTTCCCAGGTGTGTCCTGGGGGGTCCCTGTTTGCCCAGGTGTGTCCATTGGGGTCTGTATTTTCCCAGGTGTGTCCAGGTGTGTCCCAGGGTGTCTGTATTTCCCAGGTGTGTCCCAGGGGTCCCTGTTTGTCCAGGTGTGTCCTGGGGGGTCTGTATTTTCCCAGGTGTGTCCATGGGGGTCCCTGTTTGTCCAGGTGTGTCCATTGGGGTCTGTATTTTCCCAGGTGTGTCCCGGGGTCTGTATTTTCCCAGGTGTGTCCCGGGGGTCCCTGTTTGTCCAGGTGCGTCCCGGGGGGGTCGGTGTTTGCCCAGCTGTGTCCCCTCCATTGTTCCCACAGAACAATGTCCCAGCTGCTCCGAGGTCGTTCAGGTCCTGGCTCAGCCCGAGCTCTCGGGGGGATAAAGGGGCTGCAGGGCCGGGGGGGGCTCAGACCACGAGGGCAGCGAGAGCCTGGTAAGGGACCCGCTCCGGGGGGGCTTTGGGGGCATTTCCAGCTTCTCCCCCTGTCCATCGGCACCATTCCAACACCTCACCCCGGGGAGCAGCTCCCACTTACTTGACCCCCCCTTATTTTTATAGTTAGATGCAAAAATATTTTATACCTTAATATATTTTTCTGTCTTCACACTTCATAAAACATAAAAATATACATTTTTCCCAGAATCAGGCATTTTATCGGTAATCCTTATTTTTCCGCTTGATTTTCTACCCAACCTTGTTTTCCTCTATGCTCTCTCTCTCTAATATATATATTATTATATTTTATATTGAATAGGGGTTTATATCTGTCTACCTTCAGTCCTGTAGCTCACAAGATACTAAAAAAAACCCTTATATTTTTCAGGTAATTCCGCATTTTAACTAAAACAGCACCGAATTTGTATTTTCACTGAAAAAAGAGTGGAATTTGGAGTTTTTCAGGAGCCCGGCTAGCTCAGTCGGTAGAGCATGAGACTCTTAATCTCAGGGTCGTGGGTTCGAGCCCCACGTTGGGCGTGGTGACTTTTTTTGACCTGTTTTTTCCCCCAGTCTGGTCCTTTTTTGCCTTTTTTCCCCACACCTGCTCGGGCTCGGGCTCAGCTCCTGGCGCTGCGTCCAAGCGAGAGGCAGAAGCATCTTTGGCAATAAAACAATGTGGGGGGGGGGTTTCCCCTCATAAAATCACTTTATTATTCCCTTGCCCCGAAATCCCAGCCCCTAAAGCTGCCAGAATTCCCTGTATTTCAGTTTTCTGAGGTCCTTCAGGACTGTTTCATCACATGAAAGGAGTTTTACCCTCCAGAGGCACATCCCAAATCCTCTGCACCTGGAGGGGTTTTGGGAAGCGGTTTGGGGTTTCCCCCTCCCTTTTCCCAGGCTGAGCACAGACAGAACTTGTCACAGGGATGAATTCCCGAGCCCTTCTCGTTGCAGGCACCCCCGGGCCGGGCTGGGGAGCGGCTGGAGCGCCGGACCTGCCCCTGCCCCGCGATGAAGCTGCTCCTGCTGGGGCTGACCCTGGTCCTGTGCGTGGGCGCCGGTGAGGGAGGGTCCCCAATAAACCCCATTTAACGGGGCCGGGGGGGTTTGGGGGTGGCACCTCCCGCACCCCCCTTCCCGGGGTCACCCCAGCGCCCGGGGGGGTGTTTGGGGCGGGAGGGTGACCCCCCTCGCTCTGTGCCGCAGCGGGGGCCCTGCGGTGCCACGCGTGCCGCTACAAGATCCCCCTGGTCGGCTGCGTCCGCGGAGCCAACACCACGACCTGCGAGCGCCGCGAGAAGTGTGCCCTCATCAGAACCAGCCTGGGTGAGCGGCACGGCCCCTCTCCTGCCCCTCGGGGGGTCCCCCCAACACCAGAGGGGTTCCCGTGGCTGGGTGAGGGGGAGAGGGTGAACCCGCCGGGAAAGGGGGGCCAGGAGGGGTCTGAAGGACGGAGGGGCTGCATCCTCCTCTCCTCCCTTAGAGAGGGAGTCTCTTCCCCATCCCTAAATGAGTCCTTTTCAGGCCAAGGGGAGACTCTCCCTCCCAAAAAAAGCCGAGTTGGTGGGGTGGGGTGGTGTCCCTGTGGGTGCATCCCCCAATTACCACCCCTAATCAAACCCAACGGCCTCCTTCGGTGGGTGGACGTTCCCTGACTCGGTTTCTGCCCAGCCCAAAGTCCGGTGGTCGTTGTTTCGGTGCCTCTCCCCCCTAACTGTGCCCCCCTTCCCCCCGCAGGGAGGGTGACCCTTTACTACCAGCAGGGCTGCACCTCGGCCCTCAACTGCGGCCGCGAGCGGGCGAGCGACGCCGAGTCCCGCCTGACCTCGCGCTACTCCTGCTGTGAGACCGACCTGTGCAACGAGGAGTGGGATGAGGACCCTGCTGATTGACCCCCCTGCTACTCCTGCTGCGAGACCGACCTGTGCAACGAGGAGTGGGATGAGGACCCTCTGAGTGACCCCCCGCCCCGGCCCTTCCCGACTGGATCCTGGGCGCTCCTCCCCAAACCCCTGGCGAGGATGGGGGGGACCCTCCCTGTGCCCCCCAGCTTAGTCCCAGCTCCACAATAAACCTGCAGGCTCCACAATAAACCTGCAGGCTCCTGTCCCTGTGTTCCCGCTCTCCAGGCGTTCCCGGAGCTCCGGGAGCAGCTCCTGACCCCGAACGCGATCCCAGCACCCCAAAACCCCAAGGAGCAGGGCCAAGGAGCTGCCTCCTTGTGCCATCCCGGTTTTTCCTGCTGGGGAGCCCTGGGCTGGGAATTCCCGCCCGAGGTTGTGTGGGGAAGGGCCAGGGAGCTGCTGGAAGCCAGGGGAGATAAACGAGTCCCTAACGGACCTTGATGGATCCGTAGATCTATGGGACAATCGGCGTTTATCCCACAGGGATTCACTTTCCCTGTTCCTTCAGTTTTCCGCCTCCTCCCGCCAGTTTGGGCATCCCAACCCCTCCTCACCCCATCAGCACCCCCGTGGCAGGTGGGAGATGCCCACAGGGGCCATCCCTGCCCTTTTTCCCTGGTTCTGCCCCCGACGCGAGCAGGGAGGTGAATCGTTCGTGTCGATGGCGCAGAGGGATGAAAAGCTTTGCTGCTCCCCGAGCCCTCTGGGAGGAGGGAGGAGGTTCTGGAGAGGGTTAAAGGGCTGCAGAGACCCCGCGGGGAAGCTTTGGGCTCGGGGGACAGGTGGAGGGAGGCGCTGGAAACGCGATCCGGGCGCTGGGCAGGGAAAAGGGCTTTGGCAGCGAGGACAGGAGCAGATCCAGGGAGGAGGAGGAGGAGGAGGAGGAGGAAGAGGAGGGCAGGAGAGCGGTGGGAGCCCGGGATGGAAGCAGCGGGGGAGGGGAAGGAATGGTAAGTGAGATGGGAGGGCTGTTGGTGACACAGGGGACAAATGGGGCGCTCCGGGGCAGGACCGGAGCGGGAGCCCGGGCGGTGCCGCGATGTCCGAGGCTGCCAGGGCCGCTTTCCTGCGCAGGGGGGTCGTGGAGCGGCTGCCTCGGGCCCCCTCCCGCTGGGACCTCCGGCCCACCCCCCACCGCACCCCCTCTGACTCCCTCCTCACCCAAAATTTGGGGCGCTTCGGGCGCTTTGGGAGGACGCCCCTCTCCTATTCCTCCGCTCCCAGGTAGGTGGGGACACCCGTGGGGGGCACGGGGAGGGGTGGACTGAGCTGTCCGTGTGTCCCTCCAGGGTCTGTCCGTCCTTTGCTTCCCTCCACCCTCCCCCTTCCCTTTGCTTTGCCCACCATGGCTTTTTTTTGGTGGGGGGTCTCGCTCTTTCCCTTGGTTGTTTGTGCATCCCTGGGTTGGGGGGTGGGTTTATGTGCATCTCCCAGGCACCACCTCGTCCTTTCCCTGCAGAAATGAGGTGAAAAATGTGGGCAAGGGGTGGGACAAACACAGGGTTTGTGTTCCTTTACAGACCAGGAGACAGGGAAGGTGGGAGAGCAGGAACTCCCCTTCCACAGGGAGTGATGTAAATATAGGAATATACCTAAAAATGTACACAAATATAGGTGTAAATACACACAAATGCACGAGAAGGGGCAGATAAACATGCCCAGAGGGGGACACGCTCCCCAGGACAATCCCAGGAGCAGTTCTGCTCTCTGACTCCTCCAGCAGAGCCTCGGGGGGGTCGGGATCTGTCTCCCTGGAGCTCCAGATGTGTCTCCGTGACCTGGAGGTGTCAGAGCAGCAGGGCCGGTCTCCAGGCCACGATTTATGGATCACTCGATCCGATTTCAAGCCCTCGTTAGGAGGAGACAAATTGATCTCCCGAGGATCCTGCGTTTCCCGGTCGGTGGTAACGTGACCCCCCCTTGACTGGGGGACCATCGCTCACTCCTGACTGATTCCCATGACAGGATTTTGGTGCAGACCCCCCCTCCCCATCACAGACAGCCCCCAGCCCAGGAAGGGATCAATGACAACGCACTTTAATTGTCATTCCCGCTCTCTGCACGACCTCCAAAGCTGCCCAAACTGTCCCTTGCAGACCCAAAGTGTTCTGTTTTGAGACGCAGGACCCCAATCCAGAGCTTGATCCTTCTGGATTCGGGACTCTCACCCCCAGACCTCGGCAAGGGCTGCGTGTTCCCTTTCCCCCGTTGCTTTTTATGGCCCCTGTTGAGCCCTGGAGCTCGACCAGGTCATCTGAGTGCCCAGCTGGAGCGTCGGGGTCTTGGGCGAGGGCTCGGATGTTTCCCTGGAGCGGAGCCTGGAGCAGCTGCAGCTCCCAGGGCTCAGACCTCGCCCTCAGCACCAGCTCAGCCCCCAGCCAGTGGCCCCGAATGATTTCCCAGACGATTTCCCCCTTCCCACCTGCCAGGACGCCCGGGATTGGGGTGGGAGCAGAGCGTGGGGGTGGATTCCTGCCTTCCCTCCCCACCCGGGCATCGTCCCCGGTTCCCAGGGCCCCGTCAGCGGTTGAGGAAACCGGACACTGCCGGAGTGACCCCGCGTTCCCCGGAGAGGAACGCCCACGGCGGGCCCGGGGCCAAACCCCGCCAGCCCAGGGATCAGAGCTCGTCCCCCGATCCCGCAGGAGAGAGGCCATGGCCGCCGTGTTCCTGCCCGGCAACCTGCAGGACGAGGCCACCTGCTCCGTGTGCCTCGAGTTCTTCAAGGACCCCGTGTCCATCGAGTGCGGCCACAACTTCTGCCGCGCCTGCATCGCCAAGAGCTGGAGGGACCTGGAGATGGACTTCCCCTGCCCGCAGTGCCGGGAGGTTTTCCCGCGCCGCAGCTTCCGCCCCAACCGGCAGCTGGCCAACATGTCGGAGATCATCGCGCAGTTCGCGCAGCGCAGCGCGGCGGCGGCCGAGGCGGGCGGGCAGTGCCCCCGGCACCGCGAGGCCCTCAAGCTCTTCTGCAAGGACGACGGCAGCCCCATCTGCGTGGTGTGCGACCGCTCCCGCGAGCACCGGCCCCACGCCGTCGTGCCCGTGGACGAGGCCTCCGAGGAGTACAAGGTGTCCGTCCGTCCGTCTGTCCTGCCCTGACCCTGACCCTGACCCTGCGCTGCCACCGAGCTCCCACACCCTCGGGAGGGCTGACTGTGCTCCCCAGCCTCCCAGAGAACCCCCCTTGTCCTGCCCCGGGACCCTCATGTGGGATCCCCGTCCCACAGACCCCCCCCAGCGCTCCCTGTGGGCTCCCACCCTGTGGGCAGCGGGAGCAGCTGCTGGAGCAGAAGTGCCGGCTCCATTCCCGGCCCGGGCGAGCTTCCAGGGAGTGGCACAGGCGGATAAAGCTTCGCCTGTGCCAAGAGCCAAGGGGAGCGGGGCACGTCCCCTCCCCAGTGCCCCCTCGGGTCCCTCCCTGGTGTGCTCTGTCCCCTCCCCAGTGCCCCCTCGGGTCCCTCCCTGGTGTGCTCTGTCCCCTCCCCGGTGCCCCCTCGGGTCCCTCCCTGGTGTCCCCTGTCCCCTCCCCGGTGCCCCCTCGGGTCCCTCCCTGGTGTCCTCTGTCCCCTGCCCATGGTGGGGGTTGTGGTGGTCCCTGGGGCTGCACCAGCGACGTTTTCTCCCCCCGTCCCAAGGAGAAGATCCAGGGGCGCTTGGATCTGCTGAGGAAGGAGCGGCAGGAGCTGCTGGAGTTCAAAGTGAACGACGACAAGAGAACCCAGGAGCTCCTGGTGGGTCCTCGGGGGCGGTGGGGACGTGGGGAGGGGGCGAGAGGGAGGGTCCCTCCCACCCCCTGCTCTGCCCCTGTCCCGAACGGGGCAATGGGGCTTTCCCTCCATCCCCATCAGGCTCCTCCTCACCCCAACCCCCCCTGAAAGCCCCTTTTGGCCGTTTTTCCCCCCAGAAAACCATCGAGAGCGAGCGGCAGAAGCTGCTGTCGGAGTTCGAGCGGCTGCGGCAGTTCCTGCACGACCAGGAGCAGATCCTGCTGGGGCAGCTGGAGAAGATGGAGAAGAACATCTCCAAGAGGCAGAACGAGAACATCACCGACCTCTCCAAGGAGATCACGCTCCTCAACAAGCTCATCACCGAGCTGGAGGAGAAGATCCAGCAGCCCGTGCTCGAGTTCCTCAAGGTGGGAGGGTGGCTCAGGTCTTAGTCGTGACCTTCTTCCTCCTTTTTTTGGTGTGTTTGTGGATCCTCCTGAGGCGTTTTGGGGTAAAAGTCCCCTTTTCCCCTGTCTGTGGTGAGCAGATGGTGCGTGGTGGTGTCTGAGCACCCCGAGCTCCTCAGTGCCACACAAACCCCCCAGAACTCCCTCAAGTGGAGTTTTGCTCCTCATCTTTAATGACTCTAACGAATCTTCCCTCCATGAACTTATCTGAGCCCTTCCAGGACCCCCAAGCTCCTGGTTCAGAGCTGAGTTAGACCAAACCCTCCTTTCCGGATGCAGAGAGGTTGGGAAAACATCCCCAAAATCCATCCCCACCCTCACACAGCAGGATGGGTGATGGGTGGCCTGTTAATTGCCCAAATTTTCACTGAGCTGGGCAGACTGCACTGGCGGCACCCCCAGGCCTGCACAGGGTTAAATTCCCTGCCAGGTACTTCGAGCACAGTCAATATTTGCAGATGTCCCAGGACTTGGCTCCGGGTGGGAATTCCTCCCACAAACCCCACCCCACGGGTGATGTTCTGGTGAAAACCAGCTTGGGAACTCCTCCAGAGGCTTTGGGAGGTGGCAGGAAGGGCAAAGGGCTGAGCTGCTGTGCTGGGTTTGGGGGCTCAGGGATTTCACTCCCCCTCTCTTTTCCCTCTCCAGGACGTGACGGGCGTCATAAGCAGGTACGAGGTGCTGCTCTCCTGGTCCCTTCAGGCTTTTTCCACACCCCCATCCCTGTCTGAAGGTCAGTGCCCACAGCCCAGATGCCAGAGGGAGGCCCCAGGACTGATGGAATCCGCCTCCCACTCACTGCCAGCCCTGGGTCTCTCTCAGCTCCCTGGAAATCTTGTCCTTCCCTGCCAGGAGGTTTATTCGAGGCTCAGCTGAGAGCAGAACCCCAAATTGTCGCATTTCCTGACACCCCAGGCACCCCCGAGCTCCAAAAACCACCTTGGGGCTGCCACAGGAGCGGCTGGGAGGGGGTTCCCCAGCACAGACCCCCCTTCCCAGCCACCCCCCCTCAAAGCTGGCCCCCAAATCCAGGGGTCCTCACCCCATGGGGGGGGTTTAAATCCCGGCGGGATCCTCCCAGCCTGACCCCGACCCCCAGGACGGGCTCTGCGGGGTGGGAATGGTGCAGATGAGGAGGGAACGGGGGGAATGCTGAGGATTTTCTCCTTGTTCCGGCTGTTCCCGGGGCAGGAGTGATGAGGTGAAGTGCCAGAAGCCCGTCCCGGTCTGCAGTGACATGAAAATGCACGTCTGCAACTTCTCCCTCAAGACCGTGGTGCTCGAGAAGGTCCTGAAGAAGTTCCGAGGTGGGTGGGAAGGAACCCGGGGCGTTTCAAATAATCCCTGGCCTTTCCTGGCCCCGGGAAGGAGGGAGGGAAGCTCTGAGTGTCCCCAGGCACCCTTTGGCACCTGCCTGGGGCACCGAAATAGGAGCGGGAATTATTTCGGGGGCAATCCCTGCGGATCCTTTTTCTCCCTCTGGAGACGAGCAGGAGCAGGAGGAGACTCTCCCTGCCAGGCCAACAGCAATTAAAAAACCCCACAAACCCCACCCCAAACCCGTGGGATTGTCTTAAACCTGAGCCTGCCCAGCAGTTTTGGTGCGAGGAAAGGGTTTCCCCTGCCGTGTCCCCACGTCACGACCCAGCCGGGGCTGCTCCAGCTGACGCTTTGCCGGTGGGGAAGGGGAATTTTCTGGGGGGTCCCTCTGGCTCTCGGGGGTGTCACCACTCACATCCCTGTCCCTCCTTTCCAGAGCACCTGCAGGACGAGCTGGGGAGAGGCGAGAAAGGTAAAGGGAGCGGCGTTCCCCTCGCAGGGCCCGCGAGCAGAGACCTGAAATTGTGGTTGTATTTAGCAAAGCCAGAGAGAGGGGGCAGAGAAGGAAAAGTAAAAGCCACCCTAGATTTCTTTATTATTATTATTATTATTTTTATTCTTATTTTTTTCTGAATTTCTTCTCTCTCGATGATTTCCAGATCCAGCCTGCTCAGTTCCAGAGCCCAGGGCCGATTTTTGTAGCTGACGTCGGGGATCTGACACCTCAGCCAGGTCCTCTCTGTCTGTTTGCACTGAACCCCCCCAAAAAAAGCAGAGAAAACCCCAGAGATCTGAGCCCCCAGAGGGCACTTGGACCCCCCTGAGCCACAGCTCACCCTCAGCCTGCCAGACTGGCCCTCCTGGGCTCCTGTTCCCACCAGGGATTGGGGGTGGAGGGTGTGAGGGGTTCAGGTCCAGCAGTTGAACTCCTTTCTTAAGCTAATTAGGAGTTTAACTCCTTTCTTAAGCTAATTAGAAGTTTAACTAACTCCTTTCTTAAGTTAATGAGGAGTTTAACTCCTTTATTCAGTGAATAAAGTGAAGGAGGTGACATTTTTGGGCCATTCTCCCAGTTTTGGGGAGGAACCTGGGGCCTGAGATTTGAAGGAAAAAGGGTCCTGCCCTTCCGTGCCCTTTGTTTTCCCACCCCCACCTCGGGACCCCCAGAAAGGGTCTCGTGAATTCCTGGCAGTTTGCTGACTACAACCACAATTTGTTATTGCTACTGAGGGTTTTTTTTGGGTGGTGGGGTGTGATTATTGAGGTTTGGGGACGATTATTGAGGTTGGGAAGTGGGTACTGATGTTTTGGGGGGGATTATTGATTTTGGGGGGGGATTATTGAGGTTTAGGGGGCATTATTCATGTTTGGGGGGATTACTGAGGTTGGGAATGGGGTTACTGAGGTTTGGGGCTGATTATTTAGGTTGGGAAGTGGCTGTTGAGGTTTGGGGGTGATTACTGAGGTTGGGATGTGAATATTGAGGTCAGGATGTGGTTAATGAGGTTTGGGGATGATTATTTAGGTTTGGAAATGGGGTTATTGAGGCTTGGATGTGAATATTGAGGTTTGGATATGAATACTGGAGTTTGGATGTGAATATTGAGGCTTGAATGTGAACACTGAGGTTTGGATGCGAATATCAAGGATGGGACGTGGTTGTGAGGTTTGGGGGTGATTACTGAGGCTGGGAATGGGGTATTTGAGGTTTGGATGTGAATATCGAGGTTTGGATGTGAACATCAAGGATGGGACGTGGCTGTGAGGTTTGGGGGTGATTACTGAGGCTGGGAATGGGGTAGTTGAGGCTTGGATGTGAACATCGAGGATGGGACGTGGCTGTGAGGTTTGGGGGTGATTACTGAGGCTGGGAATGGGGTTATTGAGGTTTGGATGTGAATATCGAGGCTTGGATGTGAATATTGAGGTTTGGATGTGAACATCAAGGATGGGATGTGGCTGTGAGGTTTGGGGGTGATTACCAAGGCTGGGAACGGGGTATTTGAGGTTTGGATGTGAATATCGAGGTTTGGATGTGAACATCAGGGATGGGACGTGGCTGAGGTTTGGGGGTGATTACTGAGGCTGGGAATGGGGTTATTGAGGTTTGGATGTGAACATCAAGGATGGGACGTGGCTGTGAGGTTTGGGGGTGATTACTGAGGCTGGGAACGGGGTTATTGAGGTTTGGATGTGAACATCAGGGATGGGACGTGGCTGTGAGGTCGGGGACGGCCCAGCAGCCGCCCCAGCCCGGACCTGCCGTCGCTCCCACCCTCCCTGAGCCGCCACCCCCGTCCCTGCCGTCCCCCACAGAGGACCTGACCCTGGACCCCGACTCGGCCAACCACCTGCTGATCCTCTCAGCCGACCTGAAGAGCGTGCGCATGGGCTGCCGCAAGCAGGACCTGCCCGACAACCCCAAGCGCTTCGACACCAACTCGCGGGTGCTGGCGTCGCGCGGCTTCCAGTCGGGCCGGCACTACTGGGAGGTGGAGGTGGGGCCGTCGGACGGCTGGGCCTTCGGCGTGGCCAGGGAGTCGGTGCGCAGGAAGGGGCTGACGCAGTTCTCACCCGAGGAGGGCATCTGGGCCGTGCAGCAGAACGGGGGCCGCTACTGGGCCGTCACGTCCCCCCAGCGCACCCCGCTGTGCCCGGGCCAGAAGCTCAGCAGGGTCCGCGTGTGCCTGGACTACGAGGGCGAGGAGCTCTCCTTCTACAACGCCGACGACATGCGCCACATCTTCACCTTCAACGTGGCCTTCAAAGAGAGGGTCTTCCCGCTCTTCTCCGTCTGCTCCACCGTCACCTACATCAAGCTGTGCCCCTGAGGGGTGCTGGGGGGGCTCGGGGGGAGCCTGGCCCGGTGGGACACGGGCGGGGAGCTGAGCGGGGGTGGGCAAGCAATGTCACCCTCAGGGCGGGGTGTCTGGGGCAGCTGAAAGCAGGGATGGCCGTGGAGGTCCCCAGAGATCCCCCAAACTGTGGCCACCGTCCTAAAGGTGATGGCCACTGTCCTAAAGGTGGTGGCCACTGTCCTAAAGGTGGTGGCCACCATCCTGAAGGTGGTAGCCACCCTCCTAAAGGTGATGGCCACAGTCCTAAAGGTGGTGGCCACCCTCCTAAACGTGGTGGCCATCGTCCCAAAGGCCGCCCCCTCCATCCTCTGGTCCCCTTCCCTGCCCGTGGCTCCCCCACAGGACTCTGGAAAAGGCCAAAAGGTGCTTTTTTGGGGGGGTTTTAGTGGCGTTTCTCAGGTGTCTTTGTCCTGCTGGACCCGAGCAAATCCCACCTTGGTCACTTTGGTGCTCCCCTGTCGTCCCACCCCGAGGCCCCTCCAAGGACAGGTTGTTCCCAAAACACCCCTTTGCCCCAAGAAATGCAGATTTTGGTGCTGAATCTCGTGTTGCCTCAGGTTCTCTCGCCTGCCATTTCTCAGAAAAAAACCTTTTTACCCTCATTTCTGGTTTCTTTTTCCCTGGAAACCCCATGGCTCTTCCAAGGAGCCGACTCCAGTCTCGTGTTTGCTGCGCCCACTCTTGGTTTGCCCAAAACAAAGCAGCTTTAAGAAATACTTACAAAATAATCGGTGGATTGTTGCCTCGAGTGCTGAAAAATGGGGTTTCTGGCATTGGTGTCTGGGGTTTTCCCCCCCCCTAAAACATGGGAATCCTTCTGGGAAAGACAGACTTGGGGCAAGAGGGGAAGGTTTGTTTAACCCAAAAACATTTCCTGGCTGGTTTAAGTTGAGGAAAAGCAGAAACATCCCAGTTTTGGTGGGTTGTTTCCCACCCTGAGAATCACATTCTTATCTTTATTTAACGTTTGGTGTTTTAAATCCACATTATTTAAAGCTGTAGCAGGTCTTGAACAAGTGAGTAAAATGCCTGAATTTGGGAAGCTCTGCCCTTGCTGAAGTGTAGAAATGAGAGAAATCAATTAAAAAATCCCTGGAATAAGGAAGATATTCCCAGGATACAGCGTTTCCCAACCCTGGTTTGGTGTTTGTCTCTCATTTGATTTGTTTTGGAACCTCCGGTTTTGGGGCGATTCCCGCCGGTTTCAGCTTGAATTCAGTCGGTCTGGGGGCGATTCCCTCCTGTTTTGGGGCGAATTCAGCCTGTTTTAGGGTGTTCCAACCGGTTTGGGGAGCGATTCCTGCCGGTTTTGGTGGGAATTCCCGTCGTTTTTGGAGGGAATTCCAGGTGTTTTGGTGCGAATTCCCGAGGTTTTGGGGCGAATTCCCGGGGTTTTGGAGGGAATTCCTGGTGTTTTGGAAGGAATTCCCGAGGTTTTGGGGCGAATTGCCGGGGTTTTGGAGGGAATTCCTGGGGTTTTGGGGCGAATTCCCGCCGGTTTTGTGGCGAATTCCCGGGGTTTTGGGATGAATTCCCGGGTTTTGGGGCGAATTCCCGGGGTTTTGGGGTGAATTCCCGGTGTTTTGGAGGGAATTCCCGCCGGTTTTGGGGCGAATTCCCGGTGTTTTGGGGAATTCCCGCCGGTTTTGGGGTGAATTCCCGGGGTTTTGGGGGTCCCCCGTGGGGTCCCCGGTGGAGCGCCCGTCCCGCGCCGGCCCCATAGCTCAGGGGGTAGAGCACTGGTCTTGTAAACCAGGGGTCGCGAGTTCGAATCTCGCTGGGGCCTCCCGCGAGTTTTTTTTATTTTGCTGGTTTTTAGCCCCAAAAAAAAGCTCCATCGGCTCCGGCCGCGCCGGGATTGGGCGGAGCGGAGGGAGGGGACGGGGAGGAGTCTCGAGGGACGGGGCGGACCCGCTGGAGGACCGAGGAAGCGCAGGGATGTTGGTTGTCCAGTGGCTCGTTGGTCTAGGGGTATGATTCTCGCTTTGGGTGCGAGAGGTCCCGGGTTCAAATCCCGGACGAGCCCTTTTTGTCCACCTCCATCCTTCGATTTTCTTTTTTTGATGTTTTTGTTGCTTTTCTCCTTTAGTTTCCTTTTATTCGCTTTTTTTTTGCTGTTTTCTCCTTTACTTTTATTTTTTTTGTCTTTAGTTTTGGGGTTTTGTGATTTTTGCTTTTTTAACTTGGTTTTCCTTTCCCCTTTAGTTTTATTTTTTTGTGTCTCTAATTTTTCTATTTTCTCCTCTATTTTTTTTCCGGACTTTTTTTTCCTTTGGGGTGTTTTTAAAGCTTTTGGGGGGTGGGCTGTGCTTTGGTTTTGCTGTTTTTGCTTGAGCGGTTTTCTGTTAGTATTTTTGGGGTTTTGAGGGTGGTTTTCTGTTGGTTTTGGAGATAAAAAGAGGCAAAATAGAAAAAGCTTGCTGGCAGCGGTGGGATTCGAACCCACGCCCCCGAAGAGACTGGAGCCTTAATCCAGCGCCTTAGACCGCTCGGCCACGCTACCCTGGCGGTGGGAACGCCGGAGCCTTCCTCTGCTGGGTGTTCCCTCCTCATCCTCATCTTCATCTTCACCTTCATCCTCATCTTCATCTTCATCCTCATCCTCATCTTCATCCCATCTCCATCGTCATCCTCACCCACATCTTCATCCCAGCCCCATCTTCATCCCCACCTCTGTCCCATCCCATCCTCGTTGACCATCCCTCATCCTCATCCTCATCTCCACGCCCACCTTCATCCCATCCCCATCCTCATCCTCACCCCCATCTCCATCCCATCCTCCTCACTCTCCCTGATCTCCGTCCTCCTCCTCCTCCTCCTGCTCCCCATCTCCCACCCCTCATCTCCACCCCCTCCTCTCTCCCCTGGCCCCGATTTGCTCCACCCTGTGGGAATTGGCGTTTTGTGCCGTTTTCCCGGGAATTTGCCCCAAAAGCGGGTCTCTGTGGCGCAATCGGCCAGCGCGTTCGGCTGTTAACCGAAAGGTTGGTGGTTCGAGCCCACCCAGGGACGGGCCGGCTCCTTTTTCCTCCCCTCGCCTCATTAGCGGCTGTTAATGAGCTTTCATTGCCTTTCCCCTCGCTCCTTCCCCCTTGGAGCTGCCGAATCCAAACCCGAATCCCTCGGGACTGATGAACCGAGCGGGTCAGACCCCTCAGCTTTCCCTTGGAAGGCGAACAAACGGCACGTTGCTGTTCTCTGGAGCTTCGCTGGGGTGAAAACCACCCTCGGGGTCACTTTTCCGGGTGGAGAAGGTGGGATTTTGGCTCCCGCAGCGATGAGGAACCAGCCCCGCGCCCCCTCACCCACCGGGGGACTGTCCCGCCGCCCCAGGACCCCCATCACGGGTGGGGAGAGCCCCTTCCCACGTTTCCAGCGCTCAGACCATCCCTATTCCTGCCGTCCCCACCTCCCCAGGGGGGTCGGGGGTCCCCAAACCCCGCGGGTACCACCGGGGGGGTCCATGCGGGTGAAGGGCCCGGAGCGGGGCGGGGTCCCCGGTGCCCCCACGGTGCCGGGGGGGTCCGTGGGAGATTTTTTGGGGGGGCTGGGGTTGAGTTACCTCTAGAGGGCTCTGGGTAAGCGCAGCTCAGCTGCTTCTCGGCGTCTCCTCTCTCCCGGATACCGAGCGGGGCTTCCGGAGCCGAGCCCGGCCGAGCCCCCATTGTGTCCTGCGGTTCTGGGGGGTCCGGGGGGGTCCGGGCATCCCCCCCTCCCTCCCCGCAGCCCCAGCCTGGGAAGGGAGGACGCTTCTCCAGGAGGAAATCCCCGTGGAAGCGGCTGCGGGCTCGGCTGAACCCTGAGCAGGTAACGGGGGGAGAGCTGAGCAGGGTCAGGTCCCGCTGCCCTGCCCTGCCCTGCCCTGCCCTGCCCTGCCCTGCCCTGCAGAGGGTCCTGAGCTGGCAGGATCCGGCCCTCGGGGATGTTCCCGGCAGCAGCAGCTCCTCCGGGCAGAGGACAATGGATAAATGGGATGGAGAGGGAGCCCCGGGCTCCCCAGGGTTGGGATCCACAGCCCGTAGGGTCACATCGGTGGGATGGGGACTGGGGGGACTGGGAGGCGGGGATTCCCGATGGGAGCACCGGGCGGGGGAGGAATTCCTCCGTGTCAGGGGATGGCCCCTCTGCCGCCCCCTCGCAGGCGATTTTTGGGAGCGTTCTCCCGGCGCTCCCCCCGGCCATGGAGCCCTGGGCGCTGCTGGACCCGCGGCAGAAGGAGCTGTACCGGGACGTGATGCACGAGAGCTACGAGACCCTCATGTCCCTGGGTAAGGAACCCCCCGAACTCCCCTTTCCCTGCTCTGCATCTCCCTCTCCTCTCCGCCAGGTTTCCAGGGGGATTTCCCCAGACCCCAGCCCTCTCCTCAGCTCCTTTCCCTCAGGAAAACATTTTCGACCTCCCCTGATTTAAAGTTGAAATCCGGGCAGGGATTAGGAGTGTGCTGAGCTCCTTCCACCTTCCCAGCTCGACCTGGGATCGGCCCCCCCACCGCACCTCCCTCCCTCCTCTCTGGAGGATGAGTTTTAAGGGCCATCCTGTTGCTTCTCCATCCCTTTCCCTCCCGGCCCTGCTGCGCTCAGGGCCCCTCACTCTCGTTTCCCTCCCGTTCCCGCTCCCCTCTCCCGGCAGCTCAGGGGCTGGTGAGCGAAAAGGCGGTGGAGGATGGAGCAGCCGAGCCCGGTGAGGGGCTGGGGGTGGGCTCGTCCCAGGGCCCGGAGCGGGAGAAGCCGCTCGGCTCCCGCCGGCGCAAAGCGAAGCGCCCGGACAGGGCCGTGCCCGCCGGAGCCCCCCGAGCCCCCGCGGCGCCCGGGCCGGGCAGCGCCGAACCCCCGCCCCGAGGGCCGTCCCGGGAGCGGCCCTTCGGCTGCGCCGACTGCGGGAAGAGCTTCCTGTGGGCCTCGCACCTGGAGCGGCACCGGCGCGTGCACACCGGCGAGCGGCCCTTCGGCTGCCCCGAGTGCGGCGAGACCTACAGCCAGAGCTCGCACCTGCGGCAGCACCGGCGCGGCCACGCCGGCGACCGCCCGCGCCGGCACGGCAAACGCGTGGCCGAGCCGGCGGCCCACGGGCACGGCCACGCCGCCCGGCGGCCCCACCGCTGCGGGGACTGCGGCAAGGCCTTCGCCTGGGCCTCGCACCTGGAGCGGCACCGGCGCGTGCACACCGGCGAGCGGCCCTTCGAGTGCCCCGAGTGCGGCGAGGCCTTCAGCCAGGCGTCCCACCTGGCCAAGCACCAGCGCGGCCACGCGGGCGAGCGGCCGCACCGCTGCCCGGCCTGCGGCAAGACCTTCCGGCAGAGCTCGGAGCTGGCGCGGCACCGGCGCACGCACCTGGGCCGGCGGGCGCTGCGCTGCGGGCACTGCGCCCGCCTGTTCCGCGCCGGGCCGGCGCTGGCGCGGCACCAGCGCTGCCACCAGCCCGAGCGCTGCCACCGCTGCGCCGACTGCGGCAAGGCCTTCGTGTGGGCCTCGCACCTGGAGCGGCACCGGCGCGTCCACACCGGCGAGCGGCCCTTCCCCTGCGGCAGCTGCGGCGAGCGCTTCGCCCAGAAGGCCCACCTGCTGCAGCACCGCAAGACCCACTCCCCGGACCGGCCCTACAAGTGCGGCGACTGCGGGAAGCGCTTCGGCGACGCCGCCCCGTTCCTGGCGCACCGGCGCGGCCACGCCGCCCGCAAGAGCTTCGCCTGCGGGCACTGCGGGAAGGGCTTCGCCTGGGCCTCGCACCTCGAGCGCCACCGGCGCGTCCACACCGGCGAGCGGCCCTTCGGCTGCCCCGAGTGTGGAGAGGCCTTCAGCCAGGCCTCCCACCTGGCCAAGCACCGGCGCAGCCACCTCCCCAAGGCCGCGGGGCCGGCGGGGACCCGGCACTGCCCCTCGCCGAGAGCCGGCGCCGGGGGGAGCGGCCCCACGTCAGTCACCACGGGGCCAGCGGGAGCCCACGGCAGCGAGGAGCCCTGAGGGGCTGAGACCCCCCGGGGGGCTGAGACCCCCTGGGGGGCTGAGACCCCCCTTGGAGTGACAGAGGGGGAGGAGGGACAGTGCCCCGAGCGAAAACTCGGCTTGGGGACAGGCCTGAGGACACCCGGTGATGTTTCAGGGCTGCTGGGGGTGCTCTAGTGGGGTTTACCCACCCCGGTGTCTCCCTGCTCCAGTGGGATTTACCCACCCTGGTGTCTCCCTGCTCCGGTGGCATTTACCCACCCCGGTGTCTCCCTGCAGCGATGGCCTGGACACGCTGCCATCCCAGGAAAGGGACAACTTGGGCAGAAGGAGCCTCTTCCCAAGGGAAACGGTGCTCGGCTCCACCAGGAAAGGCAGGGGGAGCCGGGTCTGGTTCTGGTGCCAAAATCCGGCGGTGTCGTGGCTGTTCCTCGTTCCCGTGGGCAGGAGAAGGGGATGGGGAGGGGAGGACGCTGAGGGGGCAGAGGGAGGTGCTGGCTCAGGGCAGGAATAAAGCAGGAGCTCTGCACCTCGTGGGTTCCTGCGTGTCCTTGGGCTCCTCGGCCGTCCCTGCTCCAGGCAGGAACCCCCCAGACACCTCCTCCCTCCCTGGAGACAAAACCAGGCAGAGACACACACAGGGGTTGCTCTTTGGGTCAACTATTCCTATTTTATTTCCCGGCCCAGCACATCCCAGCCCCTGGCAGTGTTGGGGGGTCCCAGCAGTGCTGGTGAGGGGTGTGGGTCCCCAGGGCTCTTTTCTGAGCCGTTTGCCCCCAGACTCCCTGGGCAGGGGGTCCTCAGGGCCACAGCGGCGTCTGGGGGGGCTTTGCCCCGCGGCAGGGCCCGTCGCCATGGCAACGCCAGCCGGCTGCCCTCACCCAGGATGGCCGCCACGGCTTCGCGCTCGGGCGCCATCTTGAGCCGGGTCCCGCCGGCGGCAATGGGGACGAGGAGGCCGCCGCCATTTTCCCTTTGCGCCCCGCCTGAGGGTGGGGCCGCCATTTTGGAAGAGGGCACCTCCCCTCTGACCCCAAATTAACCATTTTTCAGCCCAATTTCTGGCCTCCCCGACCCCGCTGCAACGTCTCCAGCAAACGTTTTCCTCCCCAAAGCAAATTTCATCAGGGACAGAGAGGACAATGTAAAGAAAAGCAGGGAAATGGTTTGGTTTTGAATCTTCCATCTGCATCACCCAGGAGGGAGCTCCCAGCAGGGATTTAAATCCCTAAATCCCTCGGGAAAGGACTGATGAGTGGGCGTAGCGAGGTTTGGGGTAATTTCTGTACATCTGGAGGTTTTGGGTCATTTTCCCCTCAATCCAGGTTCCTGGAGCAGCTCTGTGATGCTCATAGGGACACAGCAGAGAGGCCAATGCTGGGAAAGCCACCCCAACACCTTCTCTCTCTCCTCTTCAGGCCGGGAACGCCCCAACCCACTACCTATGCACCCGTCAACATCAGATAGGGACCCCCAACACATCCCACAGGGCCCAACACATCCCACAGGGCCCCTAACATCCCATAGAGCCCCAAACATCCCATAGGGCCCCAAACATCCCCCTCTGCTCACAGGGATCTCTGAGGATCCCTCTGCACCCTATTGGGACCTCATCCCCCCCGAACCCTACAATACAACCCCCAAATTCCATAGAGACCCCCCCAAAACATCCCATAGGCACCTATACCCCCCACCTATTCTTTAGGGATCCATACATCCGGGCTCCCCCTGCTCCCCATAGGGACCCCCCCCTCTCAGCAGGATCTAGGGGACTCCTCCCCTCTGCCCCCACCCTGCAAACCCTCATAGCCCCCTCGATCCCTCAGGGACCCCCCAAAAAGCCCCTCCCATGGACCCCTATGGGCATCGCCCCCGCCCCACGTGACCCCCACGCTCGCGCGCAGCGCCCCCCAGCGGTTGGCGGGCCACGCGGCCTCGCCTTTTCCACGCCCCCTTTGCCATCTTTAGGCATAGCTCCGCCCACACACCTCATTAGCATGCACGACCACGCCCAATCGCAGCCGAGAGTTGATGTAACCACGCCCACTCGCCCTCCCGCGCCGCGCCGGCCCCGCCTCTTTCCCCTGTGCGCGCAGGCGCGGCCCCGCCCCCCCCGCCGCCAGTCGCGCGGGCGGCGCCGCGCGGAGCGGACGCGCAGGGACCGCTGCGGAGCCGCCGCCGCCACCGGCGCCACGACCGGGACCAGCAGCGGGGCCGGGCCCTCGGCCGGGGCCGCGGCCGCCATGGAGGCGCCGCCCGCGCCCCCCGCCGCTCCGCCGGCGCCCTGCAGCGCGGCGCGGAGCCTGCAGGACGAGCTGACGTGCCCCGTGTGCCTGGAGTACTTCAACGACCCGGTGCTGGTGGCCGAGTGCGGGCACAACTTCTGCCGCGCCTGCGTGACCCAGTGCTGGGAGGACTCGGCGCGGCGCCTGTGCTGCCCGCAGTGCCGCGAGCCGGTCCCGCAGCGCCTCTTCCGCCCCAACCGCTCCCTCGGCAACATCGTGCACATCGTCCGCCAGCTCGGGCTGCCGCCGGGCCCCGCCGAGCCGCCGCCGGGGCCGCCCGCGCCCGCGCCGCCCCTGCCCGCCGCCGCCCCGCCCGGGCCGCCGGGGCCGCCGCGCTGCCCGCGCCACGGGGAGCCGCTGCGGCTCTACTGCGTGCAGGACCGCAGGGCCGTGTGCGTCGTGTGCCACCTGTCCCGCGAGCACCGCGCCCACACCGTGCTGCCCGCGGAGGAGGCGGCCCACGCCGCGGAGGTCAGTGCGGGGACCCCCCGTGCGCTGCCCGGGCTGGGGAGGGAGAGCAGGGGGAGCACCCTCGGAATGATGGGGGCAGTGACGACCCCCTCCCGCTCCGAGGGATCTTCCTGGGGTGCAGGACCCCCCTCCTGAGGAGAGAGAGCAGTGGGAGCCCCCCCGGGCCCCCCCAAACCCGTTCCAAGGGCGCCGGGGCGAGTGACGCAGAGCGGCCCGGGCCCCCCCCGGCAGCGCTGGGGCCGCACCCTGTCGCGACGGGGGGCCCGCCTTGGCAGTCGCGATTAATTGGCGAGGAGGGGCTGCTGAGCCCCCCAGGGCCGGGGAGGGAGCGCAGGGCCCGGCAGAGGCCGAGCCGGAGGGATCCAAGATGCCGGCCGGGGCTGCGCAGGGAGGAGGAGGAGGAGGGAGGGGGGAAGGACGGGCGGGGGTGGCACCGGCGCCATCCCGGGGGATCGGGGAGGGGGATCGGATCGGGGAAGGGCACAGTGCGGTCATTAACCACCGCAGCGTGTTAATTATCGCCTTTAATGAGTCCTGGCGTAGCGAATTCAGTCCCGGAACTGCCGCGGTTCCTCTTCCGGGGGCGCTTCCCCCGCCCCACATTTGGGATTTTGCCCTTTTTTAGGGCACGGGTGTCCTCAGGCGGGTCCGGGGCTGGTGCTCTCTTGGGCTTTTTGCTTCATTAACCTCTTTCTGTGAATTCTCGGTTGTTGCAGGGCTCCTCCCACCCCGATTCTTTCCTGATCTTTGCTTTAATCTCACGGGTGGATTTCAGAGGCAGCACCAGCAGCCTCCCAGCAGCCCAAATCCCTCTGTTTTGGGGGTTATTTATGAAATATTGGGGTTTATTTGCCCCCAAGCCCAGCTGCCATTTGCTGCGTGCTGCTGGGGCTTCTCCACCCTCCATGGAGGTCAAACTGCTTAAATGGGGACGGGTTTAATTAATTAATAATGAATTGATTTAATGAGCAGCCTGGAGGCGGAGGCCCCTCCTCTTCTGGGGGGGGTTCAGCCTGATTTTGGGGCACCTCAGGAGGGTGGGGGATGTGGGAGCTGATCCCAGGAGGAGGGTGGGGGTGGGACCTGGGGGGGCTGTTTCTTCACAGGCAGTTAAAATTAGCTCTCATTGAAAGGTTTTTTTGCAGTTTTTGGGCTGCTTTGGGGGGATTTGGCACATCCTGAGGTCGGGGTTGAGGGGAGCAGGGCAGGGGGGGTCGTGGTGCAGCCACAGCCTTGCTTGGGTTCTGCTGCTCCCAAAAAGCCCCAGATTTGGTGAGTTTGGCCATTTCAGCAGCAGCAGAGCAGGGACAACCCCCAGCCCATCCCTCCTGGTCCCCCAGGGAAAGAATTCCCAAGGGATCTCCTCGTTCTGCTTCCAGGAGGTGCCCCAGGAGCACCTGAGCTCCCTGAGGAAAGGGCGTGAGGAGGCCAAGGCCGAGCGGGAGCGGCAGAGCGAGGAGCTGCTGGTGAGTGGGGGGGGTCCCTGGGGGTCTGCCCTTTCCTTGGGGGTCCCTGAGCCCCCAATCCCTGAGGGTCTGCTCCTTCCTTGGGTGTCCCTGAGGATCTGATCTCACCTCGGAGTTCCCAGGCCATGGGGGTCTGCTCTTACCTGGGGGTTCCCTGAGCCCCCCCAGCCACAGGAATTCGGTGTCACCTGGGGGGTTCTTTGGACCAAGGGGATTCAGTGTCACCTGGAGGTGTCCCAGCCACGGGAATTCAGTGTCTCCGGGGTTCCCTGAGCCCCCTGACCACGGGAATTCAGTGTCTCTGGGGTTCCCTGAGCCCCCTGACCACAGGAATTCAGTGTCTGTGGGGTCCCCTGAGCCCCCTGACCACGGGAATTCAGTGTCTCTGGGGTCCCCTGAGCCCCCTGACCACGGGAATTCAGTGTCTCTGGGGTTCCCTGAGCCCCCTGACCACAGGAATTCAGTGTCTGTGGGGTCCCCTGAGCCCCTGACCATGGGAATTCAGTGTCTCTGGGGTCCCCTGAGCCCCCTGACCACGGGAATTCAGAGTCTCTGGGGTTCCCTGAGCCCCCTGACCACGGGAATTCAGGGTCTCTGGGGTTCCCTGAGCCCCCTGACCACGGGAATTCAGTGTCTCTGGGGTCCCCTGACCACGGGAATTCAGTGTCTGTGGGGTTCCCTGAGCCCCCTGACCACAGGAATTCAGTGTCTCTGGGGTCCCCTGAGCCCCCTGACCACGGGAGTTCAGTGTCTCTGGGGTCCCCTGAGCCCCCGGGGGTCCGACCTCGCGCATGTTCCTGGTTGGGGGTCCGACCTCACACGAGTTCCCGGGGGAATTGCAGAAGCAGACGGAGGTGGAGCGGCAGAAGATCGTGGCCGAGTGCAAGGAGCTGCGGGCGTTCCTGGAGGAGAAGGAGCAGCTGCTGCTGTCCCGCCTGGAGGAGCTGGACAGGGACATCGGGCGCCGCCGCGACGAGAGCGTGGCCAGGCTGGCCGAGGACATCGCCCAGCTCGACAAGCTGCTGGCAGAGCAGGGAGGGGACAGCGGCCCAGGGGGCACCCCTGGAGAGGTGAGAGCCCCTGGGGGTGTGTCCCCGTGGCAGGAACTTCCCGTTTATGGAGGGGGAATCCCGTTCATTGGGGGCAAGGAAAAATACTCCCTTAGGGGGTCAAAAAGGTTCTGTGCACGTGGGCGAAAAACGCCTCACGTGGGGACAGGATTGCCATTTGGGAGGACAAAAAAACGTTTGTAGGGACAGAAAATCCTGGGAATGGGATAGAAAAAGTTCCATTTGTGGGAAGAAAAAAAAAACAGCCATTTGTGGGCACAGAATTCCAGTTTATAAGGGAAAAAAAAAAAAGAAAAAAAAAAAACCTGTTTATGAGGTCAAAAAGTTCCCAAAAAATGGGGGCAGAAAATTCCCATGTATATGGGGGACACAAAACTAACCCCACTGTTGGGGACAGAATTTCCTCAGGGATTCTGCCTGGTTTTGGGGAAGGATTTGGGATCTCCAAGGTTGGAGAGAGGCCGATCCTGATGGAATTCCTGTTTTTTTCCCCTTTTTCCAGGGTGTTGTCCCAGCTGGCAGCAGGTGAGTGGGGCCGAGCCCTTCACTGGGTGAACTGGGAGGCTCTGGCCGTGGCAGGGCCGGTGCCCCCAGCCCTTCCCGGGGGGAATTCCCGGGATTTTGGGAATTGGCGGGCCCTGAGCGTGCCGTGTCCCCGCAGCCTGGAGAGCTGGATGTTCCTGAAGCCCGAGCCCGGCTTCTCCGAGCTGGAGAAGAAGCTCAAGAGCTTCTCCCAGAAGAGCGCGGTGCTGAAGGAGGTGCTGCTGGAGTTCAAGGGTGAGCCTGGGAAGGCCCTTCCCGGGGAAATCCCGCCTGGAATTCCGGCAGGGCTGGGGCTGGGGTGGGACCGGGATCATCCCCCACCCCCAGGGTGGTCTGGGGGAGCTCATCCCAGAGAGGAGGTGGGGCAGGAGGGGCTTCCCTGGGACTGGAGCGTGGGAATGAGGGATAGGGATCATTCCCGTGGGATGGGAGGGGATCCAGGGACTCCAAAGGGACTCAATCCCTTCCCTCTCCTCCCACAGAGAACCTGCGCTTCGAGCTGGAGAACGACACAGGTGAGGTTGCTGGGGCTGGGACTGCCCTCTTCCCGGGGACTTCCATGGAATTGGCTGGGAATGGGACTGGGACACAGGCACTGGGTCAGTCCCCACATCAGTGGCACAGCAACCCCTCAGCCCTTCACCTGCGTCCCCCCCATCACATTTGGGGCACCCCCTCCCAGGTGTCACAGTGACCCTGCAGGTGCCCCACCTGTGTTCTTCCTGTCTCATTTGGGACACTGGATCACCCATCTTCCAGGTGGCACAGTGACCCCACAGGTGCCCCATCCCATCACTGACCCCCCCTTCCCAGGTGGGACAGTGACCCCACATGTAAACCCATGACCCCACAGGTGCCCCTCCCATCCCTGACCCCACAGGTGCCCCCCTCCCATCACTGACCCCCCCTCTCAGGTGGCACAGTGACCCCACATGTAAACCCATGACCCCACAGGTGCTCCCCTCCCATCACTGACCCTACATGTACCCCCATCCCATCACTGACCCCCCCTCCCAGGTGGCACCGTGACCCCACAGGTGCCTCCTCCCATCACTGACCCCACAGGTGCCCCCTCCCATCCCTGACCCCACAGGTGCCCCCTCCCTCACTGACCCCACAGGTGTCCCCCTCCCATCCCTGACCCCACAGGTGCCCCCTCCCCTCACTGACCCCGTTCCCCCTGTCCCCATTCCCCCCCAGCCGACCTGTCTCTGGACCCCGACACGGCCAACCCGTACCTGGTGCTGTCGGAGGACAAGCGCAGCGTGCGGCTGCGGGGGGCCCCTCAGGAGCTGCCGGCGCACCCCAAGCGCTTCGACTACGCCTTCTGCGTGCTGGCGGCCGAGGGCTTCTCTGCGGGCCGGCACTACTGGGAGGTGGAGGTGGGCGACGGCGAGAGCTGGGTGCTGGGCGCCGCCCGCGAGTCCGTGCGCAGGAAGGAGAAGGTCGACTTCGCGCCCGAGGAGGGCATCTGGGCCGTGGGGCTCAACTGGAAGGGCAAGAATTGGGATCAGTACCAGGCGTTCACCTCGCCCGAGACGCCGCTGTCCCTGTGCGAGCGGCCGCGCAAGATCGGGGTGTACCTGGACTACGAGGGCGGCTGGGTGGCGTTCTACAACGCCGACAGCATGGCGCCCATCTTCACCTTCACCGCCGCCTTCTCCGAGAGGATCTTCCCCTTCTTCTGGCTCTTCTACGTGGGCTCCTCGCTGTCCCTCTGCAACTGAGCCCCGACCTGCTCCTGCTCCTCCTGCTCCTGCTGCTCCCGCTCCTCCTCTTCCTCCTCGTCCCCTCCTCCTGCTGCTCCCGCTCCTCCTCGTCCCCTCCTCCTGCTCCTCCTCCTCTTCCTCCCCCTCTTCCTCCTTCTCTTCCTCCCCTCCTGCTCCTTCTCTTCCACCCCCTCCTTCTCCTCCTCTTCCTCCCCCTCCTCCTCCTCTGCACCCCAGGGACCTGCCAGGGGTCACCTCTGTGTGTGTCCCCACCATGTCCTACCCTGTCCCCCACCTGTGTCCCCACCCCCTCTCCTTTGTGAGGAGTCACTTCTGTGTCCCCCGCCACATCCCACCCTGTCCCCCCACCACTGTCCCCCAGCTGTGTCCCCATCCCCCTGGGAGGGGTCACCTCTGTGTCCCCCTACCCGTGTCCCCATCCCCCCTTTGCTTTCAGGCAGACCCCCCCCAAATCCCACCCTCGGGGCAGGGGGGGAGATTTTGGTTTTTTTCCCCTCCTGTTGCATTTAAAGAGTTTTTCGAGTCTCTTCACCCCCCCAAAATCTTCCTCAGGGGCGTTGGCTGTTGAGGGGGGCTGGTTGAGCCCCCCCCTTTTCCCTTGCTGGTTAAAGACCCCCGTGGTTCACTTTGTGTTTTTCCCTGGAGTTCTGGAGCCCCCACGGAACAGGGAGAGGTCGATCCCAGCCCACCTCGGACCGGAGCCAAAGCTTTGTGCCCCCCCCGAGGTTCAAACCCCTTGGGAGGAGGGGACCCCCCCCCACAGCCCCCCAATTGCTTTGCAGGTCACCTTTAGGCCCCCCATCCCATCCCACTCCCATCCCATTCCCGCTTCCGTCCCCCTCCCACCGGGGAAGGGCCGAGCCTGTCCTGCCGAGTGACCCCCCAAATCTCCCCCCACCTCCCCCATTTGCCCCCATCTCCTTCCACCCCCCCAAATTCCCTCCTCCCCGCTTGCCCCCCAGACCGAGCCCTGGAGCTCCGGGATCCAGGGAAAGGGGCAGTGGATGTTTGGGGTCACCTGGAGGGGATTTGGGGGCTCTGGGGCTGGGGGGTGACCCCAGGGGGGTTGGAGGAGGGGGGGGATCCTTGTTCCAGGTGTGATCTCGCCCATGTCTCCCCCTCTGAGACCCCCCTGCGCTGCTGTTCGTGTCCTTGGCCCTGTCACTGTTAGTGGGGAAATAAAAGTTGCTGTGCAAAAAAAAAACCAGGCTCAGGAGGGTCTTGGGGTCATTTGGGATCCATCAAATGGTCCCAACTCGGAGCCTCCAGGTACCTGTAACTTCTGCCTCGGGCTAAAATTCGGTTTTAAAAGGGAATTAAGTTTTAAATTCAGGTTGAAATCCAAAGGAAAGGTTTAGAGCACTGGGAACTCCCCCCTAACCCAAATTCCCGGGGCACTCTGGTGTTTCCATCCCCCCTCCCGCCCCTTTTCCAGCCCCCAAACCGCTCCAATCCCCATTTTCTGCCTCTTCCCCCCCAGAAACTCTGCTCGAAATCCCACTTTTACCCAAAATACCCTTTATTGAGGCTCCCCACAGGGATTTCAGCCCCCTCGGGCTCTGCCCGCGACAGCGCGGCTGGGATTTGGCAGGAAAAGTGGGATTTGACAGGAAAAGTGGGATTTGGCAGGATAACTGGGATTTGGCAGGATAACTGGGATGTGCCCCAGGGCTCGGTGGAAGAGTTGGGATTTCACCAGGATTTGGCTGCAAGGCCGGGACTGCGCCCAGGGTTTGGCGGAAGAGCCGGGAATTCTCCCCACTGGGTTTTTGGCACCTGGAGCCGCCGGGGGGGTGGGGGTTCCATCCCCCCCTCCCCTGTCCCCTCCATCACCCCAAAATGGGGGAGGAGCCCCCCCCTACGACCCCCCCCGGGGCGTGTCCGGGCCCTGCCCGACGCCCCCAAACCCCAGCGGGGTCCCCTCGGGGGGCTCTGGGGGCGGCCGGGGGGGCCCCCCGGGGTGGCTCTTGCTCTTGTGGGCCGTGACGTTGTCCCTCTTCTCGAACCTCTTCCCGCACACGTCGCACGGGAACTGGTACAGGGCGGCAGCGTCGTGTTTCCTCATGTGCCAGTTCAGGGACGCCTTCTGGCGGCACGTGAAGCCGCAGATCTCGCACCTGGTGCCGGGGCAGGGGCAGAGACCAGGGACAGGCTCAGGGATGGGATGGGATGGGATGGGGGTCAGGGATGGATGGGATGGGCTGGGCTCAGGGAATGGGGATGTCAATCCCCCCCCCTTCCCTGGGGCTCAGGGATTGACAGGGATGTGGCTCAGGGAACAGGGATTGACAGGAGGCTCAGGAAACATGGAGCAGCAGGGACTGGGACTCACTGGGGGGGACAGGGAGGGGACTGGGACTCACTGGGAAGGGCAGGAATGGGACTGGGACTCACTGGGGGGAACAGGGAGGGGACTGGGACTCACTGGAGGGGACAGGGAGGGGACTGGGACTCACTGGAGCGGCTTCTCCCCGGTGTGGATGCGCCGGTGGATGATGAGGTTGCTGCTGGTGCGGAAGGAGCGGGCGCAGAACTCGCAGATGTAATCCCGCTTGTCTGGGGACAAAAGCACCGGGATCGGCCGCTCATCCCGCCCGGGAACCCCCCAGGGGGCAGGGATGGATCACAGGGACGGGAATGGCGGGAAAAGGGGCACAGGGAGGTGGGACCCCCGTGGGAGCAGCTGGGATCCATACAGGGACACACGGAATCCATGTGGGAAGAGCTGGGACCCCCCTGGGAGGGGCTGGGATCCCCCTGGATGGAGCTGGGATCCCCCTGGATGGAGCTGGGACCCCCCTGGGAGGGGCTGGGATCCCCCTGGGAGGGGCTGGGATCCCCCTGGGAGAGGCTGGGATCCCCCTGGAAGGAGCTGGGATCCCCCTGGGAGGGGCTGGGATCCCCCTGGGAGGGCTGGGATCCCCCTGGGCTCCCCCCCTCACCGCTGTGCAGCTTCTCGTGCTCCTTGAGGTGCTTCTTGAAGTTGAAGGATTTCCCACAGGAGGGCTCGGAGCAGGTGAAGGTTTTCTGGTGCACGTGCTGGTACTTCTGGTGGTGCTGCCAGAGCAGGAAAAGCCACACTCAGATCCCAAATCCGACCCCAGAACAACGCCCACCACCCCCCAGGGGTGCCCAGGGCTCTGGGCTGACGGTGCCAGGAGGGTTGGGGGAGGGTTTGGGTGGGTTTTGGGTGGGATTTGGGTAGTTTTGGGTGGGGTTTGGTTAGTTTTGGGTGGTTTTTGGTGGTGGTGGGCAGGTTTTGGGTGGTTGTGGATGGTTTTGGGTGGGTTTTGGGTGGGGTTTGGGTGATTTTGGGCAGGTTTTGGGTATTTTTGGGGTCTCACGTTCAGGTACTGGCGGTTGGAGAAGATTTTGCCGCAGCCCTCGAAGTCACAGAGGAGGATCTCGCGCTTCGCCGCCTTCCTGGAAGAGAAAAGGTGGGAAAAGCCCTGTCAGGGAAAGCTTTGGGATGTGGCTCTGGCTCTCCCTGCTCCGCCCTCCTCACCCCCCTCCCCAAAACCTCCCCTGGGCAAACCGAGCCCTCCGGAGCCCGGGCAGGGGCTGAGCTGCCCCTCGTCCTCCCCAGGGCCCGGGGAGAGCCCCGGGAACTCCCCCAGCCCCTTCCCTGCCCCCCTTCCCGGGCACCTGATCCTTTTGGGGCCGATCTGAGCCGCCTCCTCGTCGCTGCTCCGGCTCCTCCGTCCGCAGCTGCAACGGGAAAGAGCTGGGTGAGACCCCCCATTGTCCCCTTGCTGTCCCCCCATTGTCCCCTCGCTGTCCCCAGACCAGGAGCCACCAGGCTCCCCCCTAAACTCCCCCCCAGCCCCCCAGTTCCCTCCTGTTCCTCCCCTTCTCCCCCCAGGGCAGGAGGCGCTGGAACAAACACAGGCTCAGGCACCAGGGGGAACAAATCCTTTATTGGGGTGCCCAAATTCCCCCACGCCCTGGCTGGGGGTCCCAGCCCGCTCTGATCCACGGCTCAGCCCCTGGGAACAGCAGCTCTTCCTGGCTGGGGCCCTGGAATGGGGGAGAGATCCATCAAAAATGGGATTAAAGGGGGAGGAATCGGGGGATGGGGAGAGGGGCTGGGATTTGGGGTCCCCAAGGAGCTTAAACCCAGGTTTTATCAGCTCAGGGTGGCTTTACCTGGGGAAGGGAGGAGAGGGGGAGGCCCCTGAGGGTCTGGAAGCTCCTGCTCTGCTCACAAAGCAGAGTTTTCTCTCCACTTCCCATTTGCTGTGACAAAAATTAAGGAAATGGTTAAAAATACGATCCCTGTCACCAAACTCAGCCCTAACAGGGCTGACCCGAAGCTCAGGCTGGGCTTTGGTGCCGTGGGAGCCCCTTCCCAAAATCCCAGGGGTAACTTTGGGGATCTGGACCCCGGGATTCGGGACAGAAACCAGGCAGGACCCAAAAAAACACCAGAGGGGGGAGGAAAAAACCCACATTTAATTCACTTTTGGCCTCAGCAAGGAGGGCCCAGACCCCACCCAGAGCTTTCCACCCCCAAACTGGACATGGGGTCCCGGGATGGGGGTGGGGGAAGAGCAAATCCAGCGTTACCTGCCCTGGGCTCGGGGCTCCAGGAGGGTCCCTGCCCTTCCAGCCCCGTGGGAGGTGGATCTGGAGCTGCCAGGAGAGGGGGGAGGGGGTTCAGCACCCAAAAATTGCCTCTCAAAGGAGGGAAAAGGTCAATTGGAGCCGCAGAGGAGCAGCTGAACTCACCTGGGCACAGGGCTGGGGCGGGACTGCTGCTGGTCCCGGGTGGAAAAGGGGATTTCAACCCCTTGGCCAGGTCAGAAATGGCAGAAAATCCATCCAGGGGAGGAGTCCAGGGGGGTCACAGCCCGGGGGGACCCCACCCAGAGCAGCCCCAGCCCAGCAGAGCCCCCCAGGGGGGGGATTTTGGGCTCATTTATCCCAAACCAGGGAATTCTGAGCAGGAAGGGCAGGTGGGAGCCAGCACTGAGTCCCAGCTCTGCCCAGGGGGGGATGGTGGTGCTGCCAGAGGGGAGGGATCCACGGATTTGGGGCCAGGCCCATCCAGGAGAGGCTCCAGTGCCCACCATGGGGGGGAATTCAGGGGTCTTTGTACCCCTCTCGAGGCCACCCCCTGCCCCCTCGGCCTCTCCTGGCTCCCCACGAGGCTTGGGAAGCCCCCCCAGGCAGGGCAGGGAGGAGACCCCCCCTCCTTTGGGTGCTCAGCACCCCCCCAGGCCCGGGGACACCCATCTGCCCCACGGCCAGGGGGTCGGGGAGGGGCTGGAGCCCCCCTTGGGGGTCACAGGGAGGGTGGATGGACCCCCCCTTGGGGACACTCAGCTCGTGCCCCACGGCCAGGGGGTCACCAGGATCGTTGACCCCCCCTTGGGGACACTCAGCTCGTGCCCTGCCCTCCAGGTTTGACCCCTTTTGGTGGTTCCAGCTGGTTCCTCAGAGCTCAGGCAGAGAGAAACCCCCCCCGAGTGCCCCCCAAACGCCCCCGGTGACCCCACGCCCCTCCCCGCTGTCCCCTCCCTGCTGTGCCCCCCACTCACCCACGGCCGCTCCTCTCCTCTGGGGGGCAGGGGCTGGGCAGGGGGCTCCAGGGGGCTCCAGGGGGCTGCTCCTCCTGAGGGGCTTCCTGCGGGCCCGGGTCGGCTCTGCCGCGCGGCGGCTCCGGGACACTGCGAGGGGACAACGGGGGTCAGGGGATTTGGGGGTCAGGGGGTTTTGGGGGCTGGGGGAGGGATGGGGGGAGGTGTGTGGGGGATTGGCTGGATGGGGGTTGGACATGGAAGGACATGGAAGGACATGGAAGGACATGGATTGGACATGGTTGGACATGGAAGGACATGGGTTAGACATGGAAGGACTGGATAGGACATGGGTTGGGCATGGGTTGGACATGGTTAGATCCACAGCTCCTCACCTGCCCAGGGAGGGGTGGTAGCTCTGGTCCCTCAGGTCATCGCTGTAGGCCAGGTCATCTTCCTCATCCTCTCCTTCCTCCTCCTCCTCCTCCTCCTCACCTTCCTCCTCCTTCTCCTTCTCCCCCCGGGGCTCAGCCCCCCTCTGCTGTTCCTGCTGCTCCTTCTGCTCCGGCTGGGGGCTGCAGGACATGGATATGGACATGGATATGGACATGGATATGGACATGGATACGGGGGGGGATCAGCCTGGGGGGGGCCAGGGATGGGCCCAAAGGAAGGGACAATCTGGGGGGGGGCACCACTCACCTCCCACCCGCTGCTGCCACGGACACGGCTCTGGGGGCACCTGGGGCTGCAAGGGGACAGGGTGATGTGGGGGTGGGAGGACAGGGGTGATGGGGGTGGGAGGGACAGGGGTGATGGGGGAGTGAGGGGACAGGGGGTGATGGGGGAGGGAGGGGATAGGGGGTGATGGGGGGTGGGGAGGGGACAGGGGTGATGGGGGGTGGAAGGGGATAGGGGGTGATTGGGGGGGCTCTGAGAGGAAGAGGAGGAGGGTGAGAGGATGGAGGGCAGGGAAGGGCACTGGGGTTGGGACAGCCCCTGATCCCAGCGGGAGGGGGCAGATGAGCCCCCCCTGGAGTGGGATGGGGGTGGGGTGATGGAGGGGAACAGGGGGTGCTGATGGAGGGAACAGGGGTGATGGAGGGGAACAGGGGTGATGATGGAGGGAAACAGGGGTGCTGATGGAGGGGAACAGGGGTGATGAAGAGGAACCAGGAGGTGATGGAG